AGGGGTATGTAAGAATATCATATCTAAGTGTTTGAAGTGGTCCGAAATTATTCTATGCAGCAGAGGCCAGGTAAAGTGCAAGACAAGAGGCGCATCAAACAGGTCACATGATCGTGGCACATGTCTGCTTTTCTCATGAATTTAAGGGAAAACACCTTGTTCTAACACATGGAATAGTCACTCCAACTATATATTGTGCCTCCAATGCCATCAGTGCAGAGGCTTTGCCTTAAATTCACGAGAAGAGCAGACATGACAGTATGTACAATGATCATGTGACCTGTCTGATGCACCTCTTGTCTTGCACTTTACCTGGCCTCTGCTGCATAGAATAATTTCGGACCACTTCAAACACTTGGATATGATATTCTTACATACCCCTCAGGCCACAGAGCATTCAGAAAGGCCACTTCTGGCATGGAATACAGCCACATAGTTTAACATGCAATTACTCATCTCCTACCCTTAATCCAGATGATATCCAGACAGGCTACCTACCCTATGCACTGTAGAACATATATATAAGTACCCTGGGCCAATAAAACCACCTGGAAAATTATTCACTGGCCTTCAAGAGGGTTCCTAGTGGAAACAGCTTATTATTTACTCTCTGATGGTCCACACCCCAAATAAATTTATTCAAGTTGCCTAAGCACTGTAAGACGGTCATACAAAACGATTGAGCTCGGTCCGAAGTCAATCGGAGGAGAATTGAGTGAGATATGAGCAAAAGGGTGTTTGCTTAGCAAATATGTCCAAAAACAGAAAAAAATCAAGCCGCGCCTTATGTTCTGCAAATAGCTGTAATACTCGTCGTCGCCATGGAAATGACGAGTGATGCAAACCAACGGGCTTGTAGGGCTTGAATGAAACTTCATTCTTTCGAAGGTCCAACTATATTATAAATGTTAAACGATGGGCGCACCCACGTCAAGAGATCAGTTCGACCTTTGAACCACACGAATCTCAAACTGAAATTTGAACATAAAAAGTCTTCAAACATTTCTGAAAAGGCGAAACCGACCTCTGAATATCTATGGTTGCGGCGATCGTTACTTGACGTTGGTTGGACCGTGGTCTTCACCGGTGCTTCAAAGCTTCACCGTTGCCAAGGGAATCTGCATAATTACTCAAACTTTCCCTGTAAACTGCCCCAACGAACACATTTGAATAAACTGGGGTTCTCTCTGATCGGGGATAGGTTAAGAAATTATTATTTTGCTTCGGCAACAAAGTGGCTTGCGCAAGCCATTATGCCTGATGCCATCAAAACGGGTGTGCGCCGGCTTTCGACTAAAAGTCACCTTATAATGGGGTCAATACCGTTGTAGGCATATGTAATTTACTTGGACCTCGCATGTTGGAGCGATACCGTGGTGAATTGACACTGGGTTGAGTGAAGTTGAACATGTTAACTGACATCATAAGCCATTTTATCTGATGCCATCAAACGGGTCTGCCAAGATGAAGTATGTATCACATCTGAGGTGATCATGGGCTTGCATGTTTCCCGATATTTTGGCATTTTGCTCGCTGATGCCCCGTCTGAAGCCCCGTCGCTGCCGGTCCGAGACCAGCCAACTTGCTCATTTCCGTGATAATGTGGTTGAAATCTCGCTTGCCTGTCTGTCTGCGGCAGGATAATAATTAACCTACAGTTGCAGTCCAATTGAAATGAACATAGATACATACGTGGCTTTTGTAAGTGTAACAAAAAAATCATTCATCACCGTGGTTGCGGTGAAATGTAATTCTATATTCAAAAGTCAGAACATGGTCAAAATACAGAAGCCTACACAGTATGCTGGAGGCACGAGTCCGGCATGCACTTGAGCAGACTCAAGCCATTCTGCTCGAGGAAAGTCTGATCTATTTTTGGCCGGTCATGGCTTGGGCGTGGGCGTGGGCTTGACTATGGCTTTAAATATGCAACTGGTCGGTTTCGAATACCAGCGTTGGCGCAAGTTACCAAGTATGCGGTCCAATTGAATCTTGGCTTGAGTGCAGAGTTTGTCTAGTCGTGTTGGCGAACACTTGAGATTATTTCCCCTCACGCCCGTGATATTTTCTAAGATGATGAAACACCTATCATTCTGAAAGGCACACGTCAGATTCATCTTGTATTGTATGCCCCAGCGTGCTCTATAATCCGGTGCAAATTTGATGGGCAGAGACGAAAAGATGAGGCTCGGTTCTCATGTTTGTGGTGACAGGTCGTCCCCATATGGAAAGACCCAATTGGGTCCTCCCTTCTATGGTAAGACCCAATTGGGTCCTTCCATCTATGGTAAGACCCAATTGGGTCGAGCCCAATTTGGTAAGACCCAATTAGGTCGCACCCCATTTGGCTTGACCCAATTGGGTCGACCCGAAATGGGGTGCATCTTATCAAATCATCTTCATGTCAAACAGTCTGCTTCACTTTCTCTGCCTTGTACTATGCTAGAATAAATTATTAAAATTGCCCAAAAATTAACATGAGCTCACAGCATCATCTGCCGTTCTGGAAAGTGTTGAACTCATGTTTGGACTTAAAAAGTCTTTGTCCAATTCACTAAAACATATGTAATTGGCAAAAATAATTCGCAAAAATTGCTAAAAAAAATCACACTGGGCTCTTAAAATTAGCTGCCATTCCTAAGATTTCTAAAACTCATATTTGGATTGTAATCCTTGACAAATTTACTAAAAAATACATAGCTAGTTGAAACTGTGCTGGAATAAATCATTAAAAAATAGCCAGAAATTTTTACCATTAGCCCTTGAAGTCAGTTGCTGTTCATGATATGTCAAACTCATCTTTGAACTAACAGTCTTTGACCAGTTCACTAGAAAAAAATATAGCAAAAACTACTTCCTAACACTACTCAAAACCCAACCTCCTCCACATGGAACATCTGGCATATTTCTGCGCCTCCCAGGACATGTTGGAATTCCACAATCTGCACATGCATTGCGACAATGACCTGTATTGCTGACACCAGAACAATCCATTTGACGGCACTTGAAACATGTTGCTGGAACTTCATGGTCTTTTTGACGACGTTTTGAGGGCCCTTCATATTCCAAAAAGTCACTGTTATTCCGTTTTTGCATTTTCATAGTTCCATGAACCCCTTGCACCTGCACCTGTGGTATATATTCCTTGTTGAATGTATGCTGCTGATGTATGGGTGCAGAGTTCCAATGCTCTGTACTAGGGCTAGCCAAATGTGCAAGGTTTGATTCGACAGCAATATTGTGTCCAAATTCAGCTGCATCTTCAAAGAGCTCAGTCAAGTTCCCATCCCGGAATTCCTGGACCTCTGGTTCAGAAATGAGAATTGCTTGACAATTGAACAGCAGGGGGGAAATTAGTACCTTGACTCTGGTGATTACTTTGATGCTCTCTAGAAATTCTCCAGGTGCTGAAACTTCCAGGGCTTTGCTCAGCTTGGGCTGTAATTGGAGCCCAGTTTTTAACATTATAGTGTGCAGCCGGTTGTTCAGTTTCTCCCATCGAGATGAGACCTGCAGGAACTTCAATGGGAAGCTGTCCTATGAAGCTTGGTGGCTCAGTTGTAAACTGGATGGCAGGGACAATAGGTGCTTGAGCAGCACAGGTACCACTTTGATGAGCAACTTGGAGAGCTCGAAGGCTTTGCTCATTTTGGGCTACAGTTGGAGTCCAATCTTCAGTATTTGTAATGCATTCATCCGGTTGGTCAGTTTCTCCCACTGAAAGGAGACTTCCAGTAAAGCTTGGTGGATCATGTGTAAACTGAATGGCGGGGATAATAGGTGCATTTTCAGCACGCTTACCACTGCGTAATGTTTTATCCAGCTCTTGGATTCGAGGCAAGGCAGATGAAATAGTGCTTTTCTCATTGGCCTTGCGAATCCATTTCTTGTGATAAGACACCAGCTGTTCTATAACCTAAACACATATTAAATCGATTTACTATTATATCATGTCAATTTTACCTTGTAGAAAATTGTTTTTCCATTGGCCGTTGCATTCCATTGTAGAACAGCTTCTCGCCAGTCTGGAGCTGCATTTCCTCGATTGAATGAGGGATTATTCTTCATCATTTCAGTGAAGAGTGTCTTTTCCTCTCCATTAACAGGGATTACAGCATATCTACAATTTTGCTGCTGAGCAAGATACGCATGTTTGAAACCAGAATCTTCAGATGCATTGAATCTAAGAATCCCTGCAGATTGTCGTGTCTGCTCTGGCAGCTCCAGAATTCCAATTCTCTCTCTTGCTGCAACATAAAGACTACTATTTACCCAGCCACGTAAAATGGGTGCATCAGGGATAAGTTCACGAATGTGAGAATCTTCAAGTAATAACTGGAGGCGATTATACACATCAGGATTGTGATGTCCCTTATATGGTTTTCCTGTTTGATTCATGGTGCCAACATACAAATTATGGCAGAACACATAGTCTTGAACTCGACATGCAGGCAACTTGCTGATCCATAAGCTCCTGATTGTCTTCCAAATATTTGTCATATGCATCACTAAGAAATTTGCTACTTGGAACATATCCAGAATTTCCCATTGGGTCATCGAAAGTGCTGAAAGAAGTAAAATTTCCTTGTGCAGAAGGATTATCCTTTGCCCATAAGCGGACACCACCAAGATATTGACAATGCCGCTGATCATAGTTCAATCGATGCAAAACCTGCAGACTGTTGGAAAACTGTTTAGACCCCAGACCATACTGGAATAATGTCCGCATCACGCGCACTCGCTTAGTCCAGGGCCTTCACTCAGCCATGGCCCATGTCTCAGAAGGCCTATAAAACGGCTGCAGCGATCCAGAAGGCCAGGATTCGACCTTGCTGCTCACAGAAACACAATGCCTACTATCACCATCTTTGGCGCCACCGGCAGTCAGGGCGAGGTAGGAGCTTCAAGTGTTATAGTCTGTCCAGTGTCTACGAGAGACTAAGTTGGGATCAAGTGCAAAGAAAAAAGAAAAATACATCTAGCTTCAACGTTCTAAGATACTCTCGACCTGGGATTCGAACCCAGCTCCGCAGGCAGTTTTGCACCCACGTGCACCCACGTGCACTATGACAGCCGCGTGTGCCTAGCCAATCCACTAGCCAAGAGTTGGAAAGCATACGTCCTGGACCTACTATATTAGCTCATGGCTTCCGAGTCCATTCGCCCCAAAGATCATTACAATTGTCGTTTATTGGTTTCCTTGTGTGAATGCTCGAGCAGACGGCATTGCATGCTCAAATGTTATGCCGCATGCGACACGTGTCTCGCTTGAACGCATCAATACGTACAGTTTTTGCAGCTGAATCAAAAGGGCAAATCAAAGGAAAGAAACGGCTACTCTCGACCTGCAGCCATTGGCATTCACTGCCAGTATACACCGATATAATAGTCGAGAGCCGTGGTACAGCCGTTCCCGGACCTATTGATTGGCTTCACTCAGTGACCCGTGTGAACCGATCCGGAATCTCCCGAACAGGTGGGTGCCTCATGTAGTTTGTCGCTGCCGGAAACCGCCGCTGCAACGAGGCATCGCGCCGCCATCTACCGCGCTCGAGTTCCCGTCCGTTTCTTCTGAATACCACGCGTCGCTGTTTATACTTAAACCTTTAGGCTATATTTAATTTCCCACGTGTGTACGTGCTCGGGGACTCAATGTCGGACGTGATGTGATATTTCATATCGCCACGCCTTGCTGCACGGTTGCGACGGTATTGGCGCCGCGCGCGTGATCCCAGTGTTAATGGCACCGAGAAGAGATCCGGACAAAAGTGCAGCCCGCACAACCGGGGCTCGGGACTGATAGCAATTTCTTCATTTATTCGGTGGCTGGCCTACCCATGCATCTGTCCAATCCGGAATCCGCCGAACACTGGGTCACGCGATGCACGTACTACTGCTACACTGTACACACTAACTTAGTACTAGTTGAAACATTGTGCCTCGGCGGCGGACGCTCTCGGACAGCCGCGTGGACTTCGTCGCGAAACACGGCGCGGAGATCGGGTGGGACCTTGTCGTGCTCAACCCGCCGCTCGTACTCGGTGTTGAAATAAGCCTCGAGGGAACGTCACAAGCGAGCAGGTGAGGAATCTCGTTGTATTCCGGTAGTGTACATGTCGGTTAGTACACTACTTATATACTACTCGTGGGCGCTGCTGTGACTAACAATTATGACTTGCATCTTGACTTGCACAGGTTGAATGATGCGCCCGACTCCGACTGACTGGCAGTGACAACGGCAGGCAGTGCCGGCGCTGTTCCCGCAGATGCCGAGCTCGGAACAGCTCGCACAGCTACTAGATTTCCAACACACTCCCTCGAGCTGTGAAGAGCTCGCGCGCTCAACCTCTGGGATCCGCCGCACTCCCTGCATCTGCATTCCCTGAAACCTCCGCAACTGATCCACCGACATTCGTTCAATCCCGACCGGGTGCGTGAACCTTGGGCAAATACTGCAACAGAGATGCGCCCTCCATGGCGGCTTACACGATGAGGGGTTCAGCACCCAACGGCTTCTGATCAACCACTCCCGCCGACCGCGGCCACGGGACGTAGTGATGCACCCAAACTGGGCGACTTCCAAACATGCCCCGATCATCGACGAGGACTTCCGACTTGCCCCGATCGTCGATGGGGACTTCCGATGCGCAGGATCCGCTGCGACTTGCTCCTTCGTCGTCGATGAAGGGTACGATTGCCCCGCGCCTGCGAGGACTTTTCGAACGGTGCACCCCGATGGGCGGCTTCGACCAATGCGCTGTGACAAGCGACTTCGAAATCGACGATGGTGACGTTCGTCGGTCAAGCCCTACGTCCTGGGCTGATGCTGGCGAATTATAGACAACCCCGCCAGACCAGGGTAGAACCGGAATATGTTGAAATAAGCCTCGAGGGAACGTCACAAGCGAGCAAGTGAGGAATCTCGTTGTATTCCGGTAGTGTACATGTCGGTTAGTACACTACTTATATACTACTCGTGGGCGCTGCTGTGACTAACAATTATGACTTGCATCTTGACTTGCACAGGTTGAATGATGCGCCCGACTCCGACTGACTGGCAGTGACAACGGCAGGCAGTGCCGGCGCTGTTCCCGCAGATGCCGAGCTCGGAACAGCTCGCACAGCTACTAGATTTCCAACACTCGGGGTGCGGCACCTCCCTCCCCCACCGTCCTCATCGACTGATATGCCCGTCTCGCCCCGCGTTGCAGCCCATGATCCACGCAGTCGCGTCCGTCGACACGCTCAACCACTCCACGCGCATGATGTACAACGCATTCATGACGCCCGGCGCCGCGGGCGGCAGCGGCCGCTGGACCGACGTGCGCGACCTCGCGCTCGCACACGTGCGCGCGCTGCAGCGCGAGCCCGCCGGTGGCGAGCGCATCATCGTTGCCGCCGGCACCTTCACGTGGCAGGACTGGCGTGCGTGATCGCATCTCTCCGCCCCCGCGCCCGCTGATCACGCAGCGTCTGGTGCGCAGTCGACGCCGCGCCGCCCGCGTCGAGATACCAGAAGGGAACGCCCGGCGCGGGGAAGGACCACGTTCACCTGCTGCGCTACGACAACGGGAAGAGCGTGCGCGTGCTCGGCATGGAGTACCGCAGCATGGCGGACACGGCAGAGGCTGTCGTGGCGGACTACGAGGCGCGCGGGTGGTAGATCGCAGGATTCTGAAGATAATGTGCTTGACGGTTGTTCACTTGATCGACTTGAAGTCGTCCAATGTATAAATGTATAGGCAAACTCGCGTTCATTGTTTGGATAGTGGGGAGGAGCGTGAAAATTAAAAAAGGGTACATAATCGGCTGTGACAGCGTCCCTAAAGGTAAATCCTCTGCAGATCTGCATACTGTTTATGCAATAAAGGTGTTTCACAGTAGAGTGTCCAACGTTCTGTTTTCACTTGGAGCGTGACAGAAGAGGACACGTTTTCAACTCTGATCGCTGGCCCAAATTTGCGAAAACCGCTAAAACGACGTCGGCAAGATATCGGCACGGCGGCGGCCAGGTCAGCTGGTGATCGGCGTGTCCCGGATTAAGCCACCGACGCGTTTATCCTGATTTCTGGTAGCTTATCGAGAGCGCTTTTACGTGTTTTTTTTGTCCTTGTTGGCCTCAGTGATCAGGAGATGAGCCTTGAGAATTTCCTTGGCGGACATTTCAAGGGAGGGACTGAGTAACGGACACGACGAACGGCGAATGCAAATTTTCAAACTCCACTGTGACATCGCCGAAAACTGAAACTAAAACTGGCTTACATAAAAATCGACTCAAAACCGCGTCGAAATTCTACTATGAAACACCTTTTAAATAGATTGGCCACACGTCCCAGGGATTAACCTAGCAAGCACTGTCAGCTGTCTTGGGGGTCATTACCACAGTGCTCGGCCTGCCGGTTGTATAGTAGCCGCCCTGTGCGATATTGCACAAGTGCACGCTCCGCCGTGCATGTACTTATACTTATTCGCAAACTCCCCTTCTTCATTGCTGAGCTGGACTCTGTGGATTTAAAAAAGGAAACCGCGCGGGCTGTCGTACGACCGCGTCACCCAGTAGCAGAAACGTCTGCTGCCAATGTGAGTTTGCCATTTATGAGAGCACCATAAATGGCAAACTGCTGGTGACTACATGCCTCACAGATCAGCCCCTCACGGCATCCAATCATCATCTATCTTTAAGGTCATCACCACAATGATGTGCTGTGGTTGCACAGCATTGCGCAAGAAACAAAACACACTGTGCTAGCCTGCAAACGGATAATTCAAGCAGCTCTGTAACGAGTTCTGAACGCTTTACACGCAAGAAACAATTGGCACGTGTCTGCCCAAGCATCGATGTAGTTCTCCCTTACGTTTGTCCACGCAGTTACCCCCTTTCCTCACGACGTGCTTACAGTTCACCAAACACGATGGAAGTGTTCCAACTAGCGCTGGGTAAATTTGCTCTGGACCATGTAAAATACACAAGGCTCTGAAGGGGCCCATGTAAAGGCATTTTTTACAGGGTAAAATGGTAAAATACAAAATGTGCGTAGCATGGAAATTTTATATCGGTGAAGTGACAATAGGCATCTCGAAACCTGTCAGTGAACATCATGGCAGACCTAAGGACAAAAGGTGGCTATAACAAAAAGCACACCAGCACAAGAGTTAATAATCATCTCAGCTGAACATGTTTGACCAGCTGAAGGTACAGCTTAAAGTAATGGTTTCGGCAGCAAACTGAGGTGAAGTTTTACTTTACTGGTGTGATGATATATCTGAGTGTGACCTTGAGGTGTCATCCAGATTATGCCATCAGCTGCCAAGCTCAAAAACAGAGTAATTTACAATTTTTACATCAGGTTCAGATGGCCCAGATGTAAATTAAGTAACTTACCGGTAGATTACATGTAAAAAATGACCGATGTTTTTACCTCCCTGTATTTTACCCAGCACTAGAACTTCCAACGGGCCAGAGTGTCAGTACATCGGAATCAATTATAATAATAATACGAATGCGTATCACACGCCCACGCCCGGCTTGCAAGCCACTTTGTTGGCTTGGCAAGCCATTCCGCCCCGGCCAAAATGACCAAAATGGCTTGCGCCCACTGCACATTATGTAGTTAGATGTTATGTTGTAGATGCATTACCCCGCAGGTACACTTGTCATATGATTTCAATATTTGGTTAATACTCGTCGTCGCCATGGAAATGACGAGTGATGCAAACCAACGGGCTTGTAGGGCTTGAATGAAACTTCATTCTTTCGAAGGTCCATCTATATTATAAATGACGTCAAGAGATCAGTTCGACTTTTGAACCACACGAATCTCAGACTGAAATTTGAATATATTCCTCTACATATTTAAGTCTTCAAACATTTCTGAATTCATGAAAAGGCGAAACCGACCTCTGAATATCTATCTATTCTTGGTTGCGGTGATCGTTACTTGACGTTGGTTGGACCACGGTCTTCACCGGTGCTTCACCGTTGCCAAGGGAATCTGCATAATTACTCAAACTTTCCCTGTAAACTGCCCCAACGAACACATTTGAATAAACTGGAGTTCTCTCTGGTCGGGGATAGGTTAAGAAATTATTATTTTGCTTCGGCAAC